GCGACAACAGACCCTCGATCAACGAGGAGGCCAAAAATACTTACGAGAAAGCATGTGTGGCTGCTGCACGCGCGGAGCTCACAACCTTTGGCACCGGCGTTTGGGACATTGCCACAAGAACATCATCGAGGCAGCTGCGCGTATCGAAGAAACTGGAGTACGAAATGGAACCGTGCGAGACGTGCAAAATTGAGAAGAGCACGCAGAAGAAACATCCCAAAATGGCACAGCATACTGCTGTTCAGCCGTGTCAGCGGGTTTATACGGATCTACTTGGCCAATCTCGCCACATGCAAAGGGCGGATACAACTATGTTAGTAAATTCACGGACGAATATTCAAGGATGAATATTGTGTATTTGATACGGTCCAAAGACGAGGCTATCAACACACTGGATAGATTTATTCAAGACATCGTCATACCGAATGGTTTTCGGTTGGAGCGACTCCGCAGCGATAATGGAGGCGAAAAAACATGAGAGTACTACAGGGACTTCTGCAAGACCATCGGAATCGTTCAAGGGTTTACGGCGCCAGCTACACCGCAACAAAATGGCATCAGTGAACGCGCTAGACGAACGCTCATGAACATCGTTAGATGTTTGATGCACGGAGGAAAACTGCCGGAGTTTTCATGGGGCGAGCTATGTTGCACGACGGTACACATCAGGCTACCGCATGTGCATCTCAACAATGAGACGCCCTACTACCGGATGTTTGGGAAGCAAGCTTCGCTACGACATCTGCGGGTCATCGGCTCAACGGCATTTGTGCACCTGGAGACGTACAAGTCCAAGCTCGCGAATCATGCTTGGCCGGGGATCCTGATAGGGAATAGCCCCGACAGCCGAGCGTATCGGGTGTTCAATCCGCACACAAAGTGGATAGCGCATAGATAGCCGGAATGTTATATTCATCGAACCGATGGATGCGGCCATGCCGCCGGCTATTCCAACACCGGCGGAATTGCGCAACAACACGGAAAACGACTTATTTGTTTCCTCGGATGTCGTATACATACCGGGAAACGAGGGGGAAATGGATAATTCGCAACATGAGGATTTTGAACAAGACCAAGACCAAGACCAAGAACAACAACAAGAACACGAAACAACTCGCATGAATCTGCGAAGTGCTGGAAGGAGCATGAATCATCAACTCGAGAGAAACAACAAAGGACAACAAGCCGAGCTACGACGGTTATCGCCTTGGAATAGACTGGCTAACTTTGTGAATCAAGATCATCAGAATCAAGACCGAGACATAAGGATCAAGACGCCAACAGCTGGAGAACCTGTACGGCCGCCAGCATCCATACCTATACCAACTACATATCAAGAAGCCATGAGGTCTATGGACGCCGATCAATGGAAAGCAGCTATGAACAAGGAAATGAGGAGCCTAAAAGATCGTGATGTGGCGGATCTAGTCCCAATTCAGAGTCTACCCCCTGGAGCTAAGCCTATTGGACCAAGATGGTTGTAAAAAATGAAAGNAAAGATCATGATGTGGCGGATCTAGTCCCAATTCAGAGTCTACCCCCTGGAGCTAAGCCTATTGGACCAAGATGGTTGTAAAAAATGAAAGCAACTGGAGTAATGAAGGCAAGACTCATCGTACAAGGCTGGGGACAACGACATGGCATCGACTGTGGAGGAACTTATGCACCTGTGAGTCGATTCAGTTCGCAGTTAGTGTTAATGGCGATTGCAGCGGAGAGAGGATACGTTGTGGAAACCATGGACGTGGTAACTGAATTTCTTCAAAGCAACGTGGAAGAAGAAGTGTACGTTCGTCAAGCCAAAGGATACGAAATAACGGATGAAGTTACGGGACTACCACTGGTGATGAAGCTCAAGAAAAGCTTATACGGACTGAAGCAAAGCCCTCGGAACTTCGGCAACGCATTTGCTAAAGGGAATAAAGAAATCGGGTTTACTGCTCTACTGAGTGACCCGTGCGTATATGTGTACGGAGCTGGACCGACATATGCGATACTATGTGTGTACGTGGACAACTGCACACTAGCCGGAAGGACACCAAGTGTTGTACAAGACTGGAAGAAGCAATTATCGGACAAGTTCAACATGACCGATGGAGGACCGGCGGAACTACTACTAGGGATGGAGATTTATCAACGTGACGGAGATATCACTGTGAGCCAACACAAATACGTGACGAATATTCTGAACAAGTACCAGATGGTGGATTGCAAACCAGCAGCAACTCCAGGGAGCGGACCGGAAATCGAACAAGAGCCGGAGAACGCTATATATTTAAGCGACGAGGACAAGAAACCTTACCAAGGAATTGTCGGCAGTCTACTCTTCCTGACTCACACAACGAGATGGGAGATTGGATATGCCGTGATGGTCCTGTGCAGAGGGATGAACAAGCCTACTGATCAACATATGGTCGGAGCTAAGAGAGTGCTGAGATACCTTCGAGGATGCCCGGATATGCCGCTGAAGTTCAGGAGAATGGGACCTGAAGTGCTACTGTGACGCGAGCTTCGCTGGATCAAGCGAGAGACCTCAGCAGTGTACTTCTACTGGATACATCTTCATACTGGCGGGAGGCGTCATCAGTGCAGCATCACTCTGCAGACGCTAACAGCTCAATAAAGCGTACATGCGGAGATCATTGCAATGGCTACAGCAGCTAGGGAAGCCATCTATCTGCAAGGTGTACTATTGTTGTGTTGTTGTTGTTGTCTTCACATTAAAAACCATCCCGGTCTCTCTATCCAGTACCTCCTTCTGTCTCAATCTCTCCGTACTAATCCATCACTTGACTCGGCCAATTTCCGTGGTCACAGGCTAACGTACCTAGAAAAGGTATACCAAAATAAAATGGACCCCAAGGGTCAGCAGAGCGATAAAATACAAGAAAACAAAATATAATCAGAAACAAATAAAATAAANATCTTCATGTCGTCCTTCAGGCATGTCAGCCAGTTCTGCTCCGGGTTTCCCCGGCCCGGGTCCTCCCCTCCCACCAACTCGCCGAACATTAGCCGTTTCGGAAGCCGCCCGTCATCCATCGGAGCTTGGATTTCCATGTGGAAATACTGGGTCTTCTGTATATTCCGATTCATTCGGATTCTACGGGAGCTGTGAGCACAGCAGGAAACTCCATGTTTCCAGGCCGCAGCAAGTTCATCAGCACGAGATACTGGCAACTTCGACAGAACGTCGACAAGGGAAATATTGTACTGAAGTTCGTGAGGAGTGAGGAGCAGCTTGTGGACATATTGACCAAGCATCTGGAACGTGTCCAATTCATCAAACTACGGACATTGGTTCAAGAACAAGGAGATCTACGAAATAGGAGATTTCGTGCGGAGGAACTACGGAGACGACAGTTTCACAACTTCAACGTCAAGCATTGTTGAATGAGGAAAGTTCGTAGAAAATGATTGTGCCAACCACAAAGTGCGGCACGCCACCTCATCAAGCCGCGGCCCTCTCACGCGCACAAATGTTCTCTGTCCTTTCACAGACACACTCTTCTCTCCCTGTCTCTCATCAGGCAAGACCTTCACACATTCAGGCCTTCCTTCCTCGACACAGGGCTTTTCCTCTGCAGATACGTGACATACCTACAAGTTCGACCTTGACGACAGCGGCAGTAGAACCCAGATTTGCAGATGATGCGGGCCGAACTAGCTGCCGTCCTGTTGGCTTGCTCTGCCAGCCTCTCGAGGTTCGCGGACGCCGCCATAGTCGAAGCTTCCACCTTGGCAACCGTCACTGCAGTGGCAGACCTGTACGACCCGAGCCTCAGCGCTGAAAACGGATGCGATCCGTCAGGATGTGTCGCCGAGCTAACCAGAGTAAGTGAAATTAGCACACAACAGCGATCGCATCACAGTCGAGACGGGGTAACTCCCACGTCAATTTTCTGCAAGTTGGTTGGTTTTCCTATCGCTCTTCCACGCTGACAAAGCGGTAGCTGCCACCAGTCAGGCATGCCGCACATGCACAGCCGGCATCTTGTCGTCGGGAGCTTGTTGTGCGTTTAGGGACCATGCGGTTGCCATACGACAGCAGTACATGCTTATTTTCGGGTCTGTTGGTCCAAGGATCTTTAATCAACTAGACAAAATGAGTGTGCACCTCCTAGAGTTCTCCGCGCCTGCGGGAAAACATCCAGCTGCTGAAAAACTTCCATGAGGCCGCGCGTCTGGAAGTCTATGTGCGCACATGAAGTTCGATATTGCGGTGTTCTGTTTATCCCGGGGGAAAAGAACAGCCAACCAGCGTACCTTCTTCGAGGTACACATCTTGTGGCGAACTATGTAAACCGCTGATGTTGTTGCGCCCTGTTTCCCTCCCTGCTGTATGCTATACTCCTCTAGACTGTGTATGTATGTCCTTTGTATTGTCTTCGGCCTCTGTGTTTTGTGTTTCTTTTCTTCATGTCCCCCCTGCCTACTCTGCTGTGTTGGGTACCTTGATATCCCTTTTACTGCTGTTGCTTTTGTTTTTACACATCTGGCTGTCTGCCCATCTGCCGCCTCTTTGCTCTGTTGGCCCCGTTCCTCCCATGCCCTGGTGCGTAATGCCTGGTGCTGGTACGTTACCCGTTGATTTATCAGGCGGGTGTGGAAAGCGTCCTCCTCTATTTTTGTCTTTGTTTTTTTTTTATCGGTTTCCGAGGGCTCTTTTCTCGACCGGTCGGTGCGGTATGTGTTCCTCTTTCTACCATTTTGTTTTCTGTTCCGAGTGGTTTGTACCCTATTTATGTTTTTGTTTCTTCTCCGCGGCGTTGCAATTGTGCCGGGTTTTGAGACCACGGGCTCCCCATTTTTGTGGACTCTACACTACAGAGCAAATGTGAGAAACAACAACAACAACAAAAACAACAACATCGTATCATCCAGTACAGTGTAGCTGAAAAACTGGGGCATGAGTCAGCGTGTGCTGAAACATTCCGTCGCTGAAAAACTGGGGCACGAGTCAGCGCGCTGAAACACCCCGATCTTGACAAAACGCATGGAATGTGTGCAAGAGTGCAGGGTTGGCGACTTTCTCCTCCATGCTACTGCTGTAGTTTTCAACAATGGAGTATATGGAAGTGCTCATAGCCATCAGTAATTTATTGTCGCAGAGACTTGATCTTCCTCGTCGAAGTGCAGCATGGACGAGCATCTTCACATGCATGAACACCACCAGGAAGGATATTTTTCGAAGTAGTTGTTCGTTTTCTCTCACGTGTCTCCGATTTTTCCGATTTTGCGTCGATGCCGCACCCACCCCAGGATAGCGACGCGACATCACTTGAATCCCGCTGGTCATGCCAGCCCGCCCTTGGCGATGCCGGCTCGGAGTGTAGGATCACATACGGCCTCGGCATCCAGTACCAGCTCTCCGCTTTGAACATTGGTACGTATGGTTAATTGAGTGCATAAAGATCTCGGTCTTGTGCGCTGCATTTCTCTGGATTACTTACTGGTTGTACCGCAGTGAGTGGTGTACCGCTATGAACTTGCTTACCGTGTGACCGTGTTTCCTTGCCTGTTACTGCCCAAACTCTTGTGTGGATAGACCACTGGTGGTTGTAAAAACTCCATTGTTATTGCGGTGTCGTGGTGGTTGATTTTCGAGTGTAGGCTAATTCCTTGTTTTGTGGGGGCCAAGGGTATCATAAATACATGGCATGTATGTACAGTACAATCAGCAAAAATAATTTTGTTCTCTCTCTCATTCCTTTCAATCTTGCTATGCCTTCCGTACCGAGGGGTGGGCTTTGTGTATCGATCAATCGATCCCCTTCTTCGATAGATGTTATGTATGGCATGGCACCTGCTACAACGTGTGATTGTCTGGGGAAATTCTCGGTGAATTGTGTACGTATGGCAAGTAATGGTTTTTCTATTGCAGTACATCTTGGGCACACAACAGAGTTCATAGTTTGGGGCGTGGGTTCGAATCTCGGTGCAGCCAGACGAACTGGGATTTTCCACAACATAAAATAATACCGCGCAAAAGAATATTTCGAGTAGTCTACATGCCAATATCCGACCTTCGCCGTCGATGAGGGTATGGGACGGCTGAATTCGTCTTGCGAAATGAATTAAGGCAAGCACCGCGCAGAAGGAAGGCGGAGAAAGATTCCTGTGTTTTTCGTCCCGTCGTGTGACCTCGGCTGATGCGACCAGAATTGTACCGGAAGGTGTAAGGACCTGTTCGTACGCTCCATGCCAACACACGAGCAGGAACGATGTCCGGAATAGTAAATGGGAGGCAATAAAAAACAGTTCGCAGAATGTTCATTGTGGTACCCGATCGAGGGCAGTTACGGTTAATAAGCCTGTGATTGTGCGACCACGGAAGGTTGTTCCATGTCCAGATGCCCTGTACCTGGCCGTAGGAACTCCACGACGAGTGAAATACATACCTGAACTCCACTCGCTGTGTGGGCATTACTCGCAGCCATGTACAAGGGTGACGAACGGACAAGGACCCTCGACATCAGCATCGACAACCTCCCGTACACTACCTGGACCAGCTCGGGGACGACCACCGGTTTCGAAACCATTGAAGTCGATACTATGGCGCGATGGATCTCTGTTGTCGGTGTTCTCGAGGACTCGGAGTGGCTCAGCATCATGGAGGTTCGTTTGTATGACGTTGGCAGGTCATTGACTGGTCGTGTCAGTGTATGTAATTATCTCAGTCCGTGTTTATTGGGGCATCTGTACCCTTGACACGCTCGCACGCCTACCTTCACAACCTTGTCGTGAGTGTCGTCCCTGCAGCTTTTCCAGCGCTCTGAGCGGTCTCACGCGTGCCCGAACAATATACATCAGACTACAGTATTCTTTTCACCTTGTTGTCATGTTGGAACAGGTGGAAATTATGATCAATGATGGTGAGTCAGGCTCTGACGATGGCGACACCACCACGACCGACGCGGGTGATGACGACACCACGACCAACACATCTGCTGTAGAAGCGAGTACTCTAGGTCTGGTGACGGTTGGAGCTTCCTTCTACGATCCCAGTCTGGCCGTCGATGGCGGATGCGACCCGAGCGGTTGCGTTGCTGACAACACGAGGGTAAGTTGTGCTGCTGCTGCGTATTCCGATGCTTCTTCTCCGGCGGCTCCTTCTACTTCACGAATAAAGTAAAGTCCAACGTATTCAAATTTGAAACCTATGCGATGCCTCAAAATAGCCTGAGGTTTCATATGATCCCCATCCGTTGGCTTCCATGCCCCATGGCGATCCTTTGGCGGGCTGTTTATTTGGAGTTTCACTGTTGTTGTTGTTGTTTCAGTTTTGCTTACTCTTGTTGACGTACGTATGTTAATACTTCTTCGAAAGCAGTATGACGACCTCCAATCACATACTCGAAACGCTCAACACCAACGATTCNTGGAGTTTCACTGTTGTTGTTGTTGTTTCAGTTTTGCTTACTCTTGTTGACGTACGTATGTTAATACTTCTTCGAAAGCAGTATGACGACCTCCAATCACATACTCGAAACGCTCAACACC